GCAGCCGCATCTGTGATCACTCCTCCTCTCTTCTAATTCTGGTGCTCTATCACATAGAGAAGAACGAGGAGATGTTCCTTTAAGTGATAGATCACCAGAGCTAGAAGAGCGACGGGCTATGTAGATCCCCATGCAACTGAAGGGAAGAGGCATGAAGAGGTGGGGTTACAGAAATAGCCAAGCGGCAGGGGGAACCAAGATTTACAGGGGAACATAATTCAACACAACACCGGCTCCCTGACACCCGAGTGTCGCACAGCCGGAACAAATCACCAGGCCACCTGAAGACATCAGGACGCCAACTCAGAACAGCACAGAGTATGTAGCTTCACATTATTTTGTATTGCTGGATAATATATTGCTGGGATTTGCAGTTCTCTATAGCTGGTCTCATTACTCCATCCCCTAGCTGCCTCTCCTCACTCTCAACTATTCTCCCCAAACATTTTTTAGGGGCGCAAGAGTGTTCGGGTTTCACTTGAAGAAAAGGTGGCAACCCTACAACAGCCACAGCTTTATACATTTTGGAAAATCCCAGAGAACAAATGAGCAAATGCTGGATAATTCACACAGAACAAATGCGAATGCAGTTTTGCTGGAAGAATAGCTCTGCAAAAACATAATTGCTGGATGTTCAACACACACAGCACACTAGGACCACACTGCATGCATTTAACACCAGTGTAGGTATAAGGATTGCAATCACTATGTGAATGAATTTCTGCACATGCATGGTGGCCTGCAATCCAAGCATACTATACAGTAATACCTTGGTTTACAAGTAACTTGGTTTGAGAGCGTTTTGCAAGACAAGCAAACATTTCTGAAAAATGTTGCCTTGATATACAAGCAATGTCTTGCAATAAGAGCAAAATTCTGCAGAAAAGCACCACCGAATAAGGCTGTAGCAGTGCGAGCGATGAGTCTGTTTAACGACAATGCAATGTCACATTGGATAGATTCCTTGTTAAAGTTTCAAGAAATGGAAAAGATTCCATTGAGTCAAGAGATAGCAGTGATTCCGTTAGTGATAGTGAAAGTTGTCCTACACAATAATCCTCCTCTCTCTTGAAGGTACCGGTAATTGGTTTATTTTTCTTTATATTTTGTACGATATTATAATACAGTACTGTATTGTAATTATTTTTATATGAATATTTTTGGGTTGTGGAACGAATCATCTGAATTTCCATTATTTCCTATGGGGAAATTCGCTTTGATATACAAGCGCTTTGGATTACAAGCATGCTTCCGGAACGAATTATGCTCGTAAACCAAGGTATTACTGTATTAATATATCCCTGCTCTTGTGCATTTCCTTTAGTAAATCAGGCCCATACTGTGTGTAGCACCTACTTAATTGCTGCCCCCTTAGAGAAAGATCGGTTGCAGAGAACTGCAAATCTTTATCACTGAGACTTTGGATGTGACAAGATTGAGTTTAGCTGCTGCTGGGAGCTGAAAGGACTTATGGGAGTTGGAGTCTCTGTGCAATAGAGACACAGCCATGCAGTGCAGCATAGACCTACAAGAGCAGCAGAGAGGTTGAAGAATTTTCATAACCTTTCTGTGCGCACTGAAATGAGAGGGCATTCCCCCTGCAGCCCTGTGAATGAATGGATGTGTTGTGGACCACTTGCTTATCAGAGTATAGACGCTGCTACCCCTGCATTCACCATTGGAGACCACGGCTGTTGTCATTGTGGAGAGCGGACATCTGGAGGACCACAGAGAGATGATTCAGAATCTGCTGGGCCACGACCAGATATCCTGTTTCCACCTGAGAGCTACCTGGAGACCTGCAGGATGCTAGTTGGAGGGGGGGATCCCTTTTGTTGGCACAAGAGGGAACTGCCAACAGAGACGGAGATCCATCACTTTGGTGAGAGGCTGTCAAGTCAGGTGACTTTCTTCTTTTAATAAGAGCGCTCCAACAAAAAAAGAGCCCCAACGTTGCCAAGACATTATTAGACTTACTGGCCAGTAGCGTAGCAAATAGGACAGGACTGCCCTATTGGTCACTAGCTATAGTGTTGGTAAATCCTGTTTGCATAGTTAGATATCACTCTACTCAGTATTAAGGTGCCCGTACACCTGCCGATTATCGTACGATAATCGCAGGAAATCCCGCGATCTACGATAATCGGCAGGTGTATGGAAGGCGTGCAACCGCTTCTACTGTACGGTTGCATGTCTTTTGTCTCCCGAGCAGGCACGGTTAGTGGCGTTCTCGGGAGACAAATGCCGATGGGGCCGCTGTGCGCAAGCGCACACTGCCCGCTCAGCAGTGCAGTCATCAGAAGCCCTCCCCTCAGCGGACGGGCTTGCGATGATAGCAAGTACGATCTTCCTATCCAAGATGGGCAGATCGTACGAGCTTTTAATTACCTTAAAACCATCGCAAGACAAAAGTCGTGAGATGTTTGTAAAGTGTATGGCCAGCTTTATTGTCATTGTTCCTAAGATTTCATTAACCATTTATTTCCTGAGTTACAGCTCATGATTCCAGTTCTGCTGTTTTTAGTCTGTTACCAGCTTTTACCTGTTTAAAATCCAGGGCTTCGCCTTTTATAATTAAATCCCAATATCTACATTCCGAAAGGTGTGTTGGTGTGTCGTGGATCTAGTCTGGTTGGCTTATCCTGGTGTGGGACAGGAGAACCCAAAATTCACAGCAGCTCCTTCCGGGGGCTATCGATACATATCTGTGAATGTATTTGTTCATCTGAATGTGTATACCTGTATGACCACTTGGCTATTGAACACCTATACATTGATAATAATTCTGTAAATACAGTAATAAACTGGTTTCTTTTGAAATTCAGTACCTTATCCTGCTTTATATCTGACTGTAGCAGCACAGCACCTGCACCTTTAAATGAGAATTTGGGGTACACCTCTTGTTTGTATTTTTAGTTTCCTGATGATACAGGAGTATATTTTGCAATGTACTCCTGTAGTCAGAAATGCACCATAAGCTTAAAGTTCAATGTAATATACTGTGGGCAGGGCTAAGCTCTATGCTGAGAAGCTATCCTGGCAATATTGTCTGAATTCTCCTCTCCCATTGAGTGACAGGTTGTAGGAGCTGCTGCACATTCATGAAAACCTGTGAAGTCACAGCAGCTCAGAGCACATCCTATCAAAGCTTATTCATGTCATATCACATAGGACATCCATTCGGCAGTTTGTCCTTTGTCCCCCTTGCCCTCTCCACTCCACGCTGCTGTCTCCGGACAATACACGTAACAATTGGCACTAAGAGGATCAGTTCAGCTCTGTCCTTGCCCCCCTCTCCTCCACACTGTTCTCTTGGGACATACACAGGGAGTAGAACAGATAAACATGGCAGAGGGGAGGAGGGCGAGGACAGAGCTGAACTGACGGTCTCAGGGCCCAGTCATACCATATCCAGTGCGTCCTGTTGCAGTTCACACCCGGAACGCACTGGATCGCATACATGAAGCTGGGCCGCATTCTGGGGCAGGAGGGGGCGTGTAGCTGTCTTTCTTGTCAATGGCACCGCAGACACTCCCACCACCCACAGTGCGATCGACCGCACCAGAACACAAGGTACAGGAGTGCCCTCCATTCCAGCGCAGTGCAATCTGAAAAAATAGTGCAAGCAGCATTTAGCATTACAAAGAAAACTTTAAAAAAAAAAAATCTCCATACCCCAAGTAACTCTCCAAACATTCCATTCACCTATTAAATGCTTATGTAGAAAAAAAAAAAAAGTTTCCCAAGAATACCCAAAGAGAATGAGACACAAGAGGCATGTTTCCTTATTTATTCCATAAGCTTTGAATTTTTTCATTGAATCACATCTATAACGTCATATGCAACCCTAAGTAAAAATGCAATGTGAAGTACAAACTGAAAAGAAACTGTACAAAACTGTAAAAATCAGGTCAGCTTGGATGGACTGTATCCAAACTCTACGTACAGAGGTTTTATTGTGTAGAATGGCTTACATTAGGCATGAGGCAGTCTGCTGCCCTCCAGCTGGTGAGGAACGCCTAGTGAACCACAACCAAGCCCTGTGGCAATGAGAAGCCCGTACTGGAACCATCTCCTGCTATAAACCATTGATGCCTCTACTCTTTGTGATAGAAACTTATATGGACACTGTACCTCGAATGCTGCAAGAGACAAGTCATAGGGGTAGCCAAAGGAGCAAGAAAGTCTTTGCTCTGCAAGACTTCCTCAGACATTTTAAATGTGTGGTTATCAACAGAAGAACTATTGTGCAAGATTGGTCTCTCTAACTACCAGCTCTCTAGTTAAAGTCACCAATAACAAAGGAGAATAATTCTTAGGATGAGGGGATACGGTTACTGCAGAGGATCATTTTGCCAAAAGAAGGGTAGGACTATGGAAAGAGAAAAGGGTTCCAGCTCTGCTCCTGCATTGGAGGCATCAGCTCATCAGTAACTGGAGGACTGGAGTCTGCCAAAGTATGGTTTCAAACAAAGCGTGAAAACTCCTGGTTTCAAGAATGCGCATTTCTTTTGCTTTTGTGTGTGATGTTGCTGGCTGTGGCATAATACAATAAAAAAAAAAAAAGTACAAAATAAATTCAACATGGTACATTTAGCAACCTACTGCATACATAAAATTGTTCACATTTCTTGGTTATCGGTGGCAAAGTTGATCTTGGCATTGTGTCTAGATGATCGTTGGCATGTCTTGAAACTCACGTTCTACATAATATAAATAAACGTAAAAAAACATGCACTACCTACCCAACATACAAACCAAACAGTGCAAAGAAACAGCTACAAGACAAAGCTGGAGTCTATAATCTACAACGGCAATGGGTGATCCATGCTTTCAGGTGACTATGGACAAGAGTGTGATAATTCATTCAGAGCAGTTCACAGTACTATGACCACCTTTCCTATACAAAACAGACCATTGTTTTCATTAGTAGCAAACAAATTGTGGGCTCAACTCAATAACACTGACAAAGAATGGAACACTGTTCCGGTGACTGTTTGTTCTCTTTCTCAAGGTCTTTTCATTCTTTCCATTCAACCCAGGCTTGTGATGTTTGAACGTCCACCAGGGGGAGCCACAATGCGATGTCCAGTACGGCGAGGGTTGCTATCATCTATTTGTGCACCTAAAATGTAAGCAATAGTATGTAAGGATTTCTAAAAAAACTAAACAGATAGCTAAACCTAAAGGTCAAAAGCTGGAACCTGTTTAAACAAGCTGATATGTTTGTATTACTATATTTCATTTATTATATTTGTATTTAGAATTTTAAATTTGTAGGGCTGTAATGGTATTTGTAACATACAACAGTGTTGTGTTCTTGGTTGTTGTCTGCGAACTACACATAAGGCTGATTTCACAAAGCTAACACACCAGGAGAAGGATCCTTATTTTCATTGTGTTATAGCTTTGTAGCCTATTACAGTTTTACAATTCAATAAATGCAATACGGCACACTGTTGTGCGTGAAAAAACAGTAATGCCTTCATTACTTTTTTCAAACGCATGGCAAGGCACGATATTGCTGTATTGCAGCACAACACACTCTGCTTCAGTGATGGTATGTCCCTCAGTGTCCTTACGTCCTATATATTTGTGTATAGAAAGTGAAGACTCAGAGACCTTAGACCGCTGCAGCCTGTGAGCCTGGAAGAACCGTTCGTACGATTTTCGGCGGGTTTGTGGTGAGCTCGGAAGACGAATGCCGCACGGGCCGGTGTGCGCAAGCGCACACTGTCCGCTCAGCACTGCAATCATCGCAAGCCCTTCCCTCAGGGGGGCTTACGGTGATCGCAAGTACGATCTGCCCATCTTTGACAAGTAATTTTAGTCACCTTACAACCATCGCACAACGAAAGTCGTGCAATGGTTGTAAAGTGTATGGGCAGCTTAAGAGCAAGCCAGCTCTGACGATCAGGTGAGTATAACTTAGTTTGAACCTAGACAAAAATGAGCAGTTAACGCTTGCAGTGTGAGGGTAGCCCCATTGCAAAGGTTAATAAATGTTGTGTCTGGAGTTCTTCTTTAAGGGACATTGATAGATGGAAGCTGATTGTTGTGGGGCAACAAAAATGTTTCTTGTCTGTAAAATGTACAGAATTGGGAATTTATGAACAGTCAACAAAAGCAAAACGAGTGCATTTCTTTAAAAAAAAAAATTCCATTTTACCTGATAAACTGAAGTTAGACTGGTGAAGGTTCCTAATGGGAGGGGGTTGTGGCTTGGAGGGTGAAGATTTAGCTGAGGGGGCAGGGGTTGCATACTTTGGAGTAGCTGGAACATCATACACTGGTCCATCATACACTGGTCCATCATACATCCCACGAGACACAGGCTGCAGCCCGCTCACCTGTAAAACACACAAAGAATAGGCATAACCATATTTTTCAGTTTCTTTATCAAACTGGGCACAGCAGGTTGAACATAACTAATAAGCAATGGACAAAAGTTCTACCTGAAAGACTTCATGATGTTCCAGGCCAACTTTGAAATATATTCCTTCAGGGTGTACAGGATGATATATCTCTGTATGTATATTATATCTATACAGAGTCCTAGGACTCGTCTTCAGTTCGATCTGGTTAAAACTATAAACTTCTCAGTAGGTATAAGAACACCCACATAACACATCCAAAATGCCTCCAAAGGCATCTCTTATTTTAAAGGAGTTTTAGCTCTAAGGCAAGGTTTGGTTTCTTGGATAACATGTTAATTCATGCAAGGGACCTAATTATCCGCTTGTACATGTGATCTTCTCCTTTTAGTGATTAAGCAGTCACCATGCATTGTATATTTCCTTTCCTGCTGAGACCATGCATGATGCTGGAACCTGCTGTCAGTTTGACAGCTGAGGTCCCAGTTTGTATCAAAGCTCCAATTAGCAGCTTGTTCAGTGATGATTTGGGAAAATTAGCCATGTCTTGTCAGTGTTTGTTCATATGTAAACAAACGCTGATACATTCCATTTAGTATGTGTGAGCAACTATTAAAGACGCTTTAAAATGAGTGAAGATTCAACGCTTTACCTAGATAATCTTGACTTCAGTGCTGACATTCCTATTTCTAAATATGTCAATTATTAGATAAACAATGGGACTTTCAGTACAGAATTTCAGCACGAATGTACGCATGTCATAAAACTATAATAGTTTAATGACAACATTGATTATAAAGACATATGTACAGATGTCCATTACAATTTCTCAGACAGATTTTTGCACATCAATTACACAATTACTGACCACAGCTAACATGCCTTAGGCCCCTTTCACATGGACGACCATCCGTTCCAATCAGCAGGGGATCCGTGCACATTCAATTTTCTTCCCCCATCTTACAATGGAGGCAAAAACTGAACTAAACAGACGCATGTTAGGTCTACGGGCAGGCGGATGTAAGCGGACATGCCTCCATTTACGTCCTTTGACCTCTGATCCGTTACGTGTAGCTCCAAAATAATGGAAACTCTTTTAAGAGTGCTAACCTTTACCCATTCAATTCAAAACTGAAAAAAAACGAGGTTTTGGGTACAGATACACGTTAGAGTTGCAAAGCAACAGCTTGTTGATGTACCAGCCAAAGTTTGCTGCATGGATGGCGCTGTCGGCACCCTTCTGTCCGACATCCTTCAATCAGTTGATTGAAGAAGCAGGTTGGAAAATTCTTGGCCAAATGGAGCTAGCAGCCCATCAGCTACTAGCTTTGTTTGGTATCCTGACAGCGGCCGCTGTCAGAATACAAAGGAAAAAGCGGGGGATTTGTCCATCAATGCTCGTGAACGTTGATGAATGAATCTGTTCTATTTTTTTCCGTTCAGCCTGCGGGTTGAAGGAAAAAAATAGAACAGTGTATGCCCAGCTTAAGATCTGCCTTTAGAATTGAGCATGACTACTCATTATAAATGACTGAGCTTCATTGTATGATGATAGCGTGTCACAATTTCTATATATGACTCCCTACACCAGGGGTAGGCAAACTCCCACTATGTATTGCAAGGCTCTACAAATTCCATTATGCATTGCAAGGCACTGAAAACCACAAACATGACTCCCAGAAGCAGATGCATGATGGGATTTGTGGTTCACCATAGCTTCCTACTCCTGCCCATACCTTTGCTCAAGTTCAACTACAAACATTTAATAAAAATCTATAAGTAGTGAAAATGACTGAGTTTGTTTATAATGGAGTTATTCAGTTTCAGCGTGACCACACTAAGATATGCCAGCGGAGTTGGTGCTTGACTTCCCTAAAAAATGACTTTGAGCTTGTTTATAATTATCGCTTGAGGTTCAACACTGTCTGATTCGGAAGCGCCTGCAGACAAAAGCATGACTGTGCTAAAAATGTTGACCTTGATCAAGAATAAAGTATACAGGATGTCTTGATATAAGCTGAGGGGACGTACCCATAAGACTTATACTGGGGTTCTATAAAGATAAAACCACCTCGACACAAATACCTTCAGCCACATCATGTGTTATATTGTGACTATAAAGTAAATATTCTGAATATAAATGGTTTTTATCATCACAATAAATCACAAAATAAGATTTTCGTTACAAATATATAAAAATATTAAAAAGAAGATTACCTTCCCTGGATTTTACCATTGGAGGTGCTAGCAAATTGGTACTGAGGGGATGACCACCCCGTCTAACCACTATGCATAGCTTTTCAAGAGATTCACATTTATAGGGCAATCACATGGAAGAGTAGCTACTTTATTACTGTTTAAGTTCCTCAGCACTGCCTCCTAATGCCAAGAGTGAAGGCCAGTAGGTAGGGACCATTAAGGGTGTTTGTCCCTTGAGTGTTAAAGGATGACTCTTTGTGAGTCTAGGACAACCCTTTAAATTCATCTTCTTTAGGGATGAGGTTCGGGTTCACCACTACTAAAGGTTTGCATGGAATCCTCATGAATCACAAATTTATAGCACAAAAGTTCAACAGGTCTCTGCCAGAAATATGGTAAAACCTACATATTGCATAGACGTTCCCTGGTCAGCTGAGTCACAAGAGTCCGTAATTCGAAGGAATGGAGAAGCCATATTGTCAATGTGTGCTAGACCTGTTGGGGAGAGCTGACAATCGGAGTAGGGAGAATACTGTTTTTTTTTAATTATTATTATTTTGGTATTGGTACATGTGTCTTATGGCATTGTTCGGGTTTCCCTGCCTTTTGTTTGACAGTAGCTTGAATTAGTAGCCCTACAAATGACCAGAACTGACTAACAAGATGCACCCACAATGACGCAGAGTTTGTGAACTTCAAACTTCAATAAAGATATGCTAAACTGTTCGCAAACAGAAAAAAAGGCAGATTCATTCATTTCTACTCCTCTTATACAGCAGGAACAATCGTAGGCTGCAGGAATGATGACTTTATTTACCAAAGAAGATATGAACATCTTGTGTGTATTGAAATAACGTGACAAAACTATATTTATCTAGGTTGGGTGCTTCCACTATGTAAGCCAGACCCTATAACTCTCCTACACACATGCACATTAATAGTGAACACCATACAAACAGCATTATATGCAAGTTTGGATTATATTTAATAAACATATATGCTGTACAAACATGCCACTCGGTAGTGCACATAAGGGTAGGCCGGCCGCACTTCTGGGTTTCTCTTGGAGTTCTGAGACCATGATCAATCAGTTTACAGGCAACGCCTTAAATGGATTGTTAATGCTTTACTTGGTGTTCGAGAAATGCGTCACTACACCTAAGCTGAGCCCTCTGCTGCATTCCTCTGTATTTGTCTGTTTCTCCAGTGTTCCTTGTGACTGTACAGAACCCCGTGTCTCCTGTGACTCCTATTTCACCTACCACTCCTGTGACTCCAGTGGCCCCTGCGTCTGCAGCAACCACTATGTCTCCAGCAACCCAGTGACTCCAGTGTCTCATGAGTCTCCAGTGTCCCTAGTATCTTCAGTGAGCCCTGCGCTTCAGTCACTCTTTTGTCTCCTGTATCTCCAGACCCCAGCACTTCCATTGATCCTTGTGCTCCTGTGTCTCCAGTGAATCTTTTGCCTCCTGTGTCTTCACTGACCCCAGTGCCTCCATTAATCCCTGTTCTCCAGTATCTCCAGTGACACTGTTGTCTCCTGTATCTCCACTGACCCCAGTGCCTCCATTGATCCCTGTGCTCCCGTGTCTCCAGGGACTCTTGTGCCTCCTGTGACCTCGGCATCTCCAGAGATCTCTGCACTTCTGTGTCTCTACTGACTTCTGAGTCTCCAGTGATCCCATTATATCCACACAGCCACATCATCCTGTCACAGATCCTTTGACAGGATCTGTGAATGTAAAAACCACAAGTCACATCATCAACTGCGGCAGAGGGACTCAATGGAATTTAGGTGCAGTGATGTCTTCACACTGGTAGTCCATGCATTCTACCTCCCGCCCATGTTACTGAATGCCTGTACCGAGGTGCAGACATGGACGGGAAGAAAAACTGCAGGAGCCATAACATTGCACCCATGATCATCTGATCACAATGCTTTACTGGCTCCAAAGCAAAAAAAATAATAAATGCACATTTTTCCTTTTATGAAGAAGTGCGCATTTATTATTATCTTTTTTTTTCTGGGTGGACTTTGCTGTGTTATATACAGTATGAGCTAGTTGCCTGGCTGTCATGCTGATCCGGCGGCTCCAGTACTTTATGAGTTAATGACCAAAAACATATACAGATAAGGAGTTCTTCCTTCTAACTGACACGTTTGTGGAGAGTGTAAGTATTGAAGCCAGAGACAAGTCAGTCAGCTATTATGCATAGGTCAGACTCCATATTTCTCTTGTGCGGGTTTAATATATGTTACAAATTATAGACGTTCTATTTTAAAGGTTATAAACACTTTCACATTTTACTATATGAACATTTTTGATTTTTCTGGAATTAAATGTATCCTGTATTTGGCCTGGAGGTCACTTTGAATTTATTATTAACTGACATAATTTCTTTCTTTTTTTAAATGTCATAATGTAAGAATCATTACCCTGTTTTAATATCAAGTTTATTGTCTAGACACAATCCTTTTGGCTGCAATGAGGTGGATTTACTAAGCCATGGAGGGTTATTTTAACTAACATATTATTAAATCACATAACCCTTTTCCCATTAAAATGTTCATTTCAGATACCTAAATATTGCATAGATGTTAAATCACTTTTCTTTCCCATCAAATAGCTATTTTTACCATCAGTCGCTGTTTTATCTTCACCGCAATGGTTCAATTGTCTGCTCTTCTCTATAAACATCTCATAAAACTTCACAGTTCCACTAGTCGGAGGCCTGTGACATTTAAAGCAATTTTGGTGAATACGTAAACAATGAGCATCTGGTAAATTGATCCACACTGCGCAGTAAATGCTCTGATTAATCAAAAACAATATTTCATAAAAATGAGCAAATAAGGCCCCATTCACACTTACACTAAGCTAAGCGTCTTTGGGCATTTTTTGGTCTTTTTTATGCCCTTGTACAGGTGGTTTTTCTGCACGTTTCAGGCTTGAGCATTTTTTTATTTTTAGCCAATGAAAAGCTAGTTACTTTGAACAATAAAAACTAAAGTCGTTTTCATGCATTTTGTGTGCATTCAGGTGCTCCCATTGAAGTCTATTGGGGCTCAACTCTGCTCTAAAAGAAGCTCACGCACTTTTTCAAACAACAGGTATTGTGCTACAAGTGACAGAACACTCAGGTGTGAACAGGGGCCATTGAAAACAATGGAATTCCTCCAGTTGAGTGCTGTAGCGCTTAAGCTGGCCATCCACTGTAATATTTTCTTTGTTCAACCCGTGGGCTGGGTTGATCGACGAATGTCCTGCTGTTTGCATTGTATTCCGACAGCATCCACTGTGCAAATTTCGCCTTTTTCATCAACAACCAGCCTAAATTTGCACAGCGTATGGCCACCTTTTTTTTATTATTATTTGGATATATATAGCGCCAACAGTTTGCATAGCGCTTTACAATATAGGCATTTGAGGTGTGAAGTCCATTCACATAGCACACGTGTTACGGATTTGTGAATTCACTCCAATACACAAGAAAACTGATCCCGGTATATTTTGCTTTTGCTCAGGATGTATTTCCTTTCCTGTCATCCTGCTATGAATTGCTGCCATCTTGTGACAATCATTGGTATTTAACTTCTACGAAATCTATTTTTACATTGCTGGGAGGTAACCGGTATGGCTAGATATCTCTCATTCAACCTTCAGGCTGAACAAGAGAAAATCAGTCAATGCCCCCATCCACTCTAAACAATGAGGATGGAGGAATCTCCCCCGCCGGCTAATGCATTCAGCAGCCGTGCGTGTTGCACGGTGGCACTTCCGAACAGTGACCACATCTGACAGGATGAAGTCCCTGTTCATCCTACCGTATAATTTTCCAACCAGCTCAGTTGATTTTTTAAAGCTGGGTGGTGCCCGCAGGGCCACCCATGGCTTGGATTTGAGCTCTTTGGCCAGCATTATGCTGTGATAAATACTTTGCACCACATACATGTGTAATGAACCAAGATGGCCACATTTTGTACCTGTATAAGGTAAAGTGAAACTGTGCGATGCCCATGCAGAGCAAAACAAAAGGTTCTCTTTAATACCCCCTTTCCAGCCACATATACCTCATTATATACCCCCTTTCCAGCCACATATACCTCATTATATACCCCCTTTCCAGCCACATATACCTCATTATATACCCCCTTTCCAGCCAGATATACCTCATTATATACCCCCTTTCCAGCCACACATACTTGCCTTCCTTTTACCCTCCTGCTACTACTTCCAGCGGCCAGGGGTGAAGAGAAGTCTTTTATAAGCTACAAGTTGTTGGATTCATGGCTTACTCAGAGCTATGGACTCCCTGCATTACAGCGCTGATTGGCTCCATGTACAGAGTGAGTCAAATGCTTCTCCATATCTAAAAATACTCATTATTTTTATTTGTCTACTGTAGATAAACAGAGGAAGGAAAAGAAAGTTTATGGGGGATTAAAGCAAATCTGTTGCTTTGCCCTGAATGGATGAAGTATGAGTTTGCATATTAACCATTACTATTAATCATTTTTCTACCAGAACAGAATATTGGCTACATAATGTTTCTAAATACTCAATAAAGTAGTGTAAAGTCCACATAATTATAATAACCGGAGATAATATTGCACTTTTATTACTGTACGTGTTCTATAAATACAAGAATGCGTTAACAGACATGTCATACATAATATAACATGCTCACCATGTTCCTTGTCTTAATACGCTGGTAGATGTATTCTGGGAAAGGTTTTCGAGGTATAAATCGTCCTATGCCTTGGGTAGCATGTAGGTTGCCATCTTCAAAGACAATTTTTCCTTGGCTTATGACCACCAGTGGGGCACCATGACACTCCATCCCTTCGAAGATATTATATTCCACCGCCTAAGAATGACAGCAATGTTTCATTATCAACACCATTTTTTTCAGGTGTCTGTGTAGGGCTAATTCCTTTCATAAAGTGTATCTAAACCCGAAACATTTTTGGGGTTTGGATAGAGCAGTTCAACACTGTCAGTTTTTTTTTTTTTTCATTACTGTCTATGTGCCCTTTAGGGAGATTTACTCTCTCCATTTCTCCTAACTAGGGATGCACCAATACCGTTGTTTGGTATTGAGTAAGATATGGATATTTTTTCATCGGTACTCGCCGATACCGAGTACCAATACTGGCATGATGAGGTATCGTGGGCCCGGCTTACTGGACAATCAGGAAGCCGGGCGGTGGGTTATGATGCACCGCCCAGCTTCCTGATTGCCTGGGAAGCCGGTGTTCTATCGTCAGGCTTTAGTCTTCCTTCCGACACTGCGAGGCAGCCTGGCTTCATGACCAATCAAGAAGCCAGGCGGTGGGTCATGACCTGCCACCTGTCTTCCTGATTGGTCAGGAAGCCAGGTTGCCTCGCAGTGTCGGAAGGAAGACTAAAGCTGGGAAGCTGGCTTCCAAGCCAATCAGGAAGCCAGGTGGTGGGTTATGACCTGCCGCCCGGCTTCTTGATTGGTCAGGAAGCCAGGCTGCCTCGTAGTGTCGCCAGTGCATCGGTATCGGTGCATCCCTACTGATAATCAATGTCAAAGGGCATAAAAGTGATGTGAAATCTGAAATTAGAAGTTGACAAAAGAACAGGAATTGTTTCCATTGGGGACACTGGCTCCAGTGACATCTGTCTAAGAGGATTTTTCTAACTGTGGAGAGATTTGCTTTCACTTCTACAGGGCATTAAGTGGAATCTCACCAATGGGAAAAAAATGACAGTGTGTCTAACCATTTCCTACACAAACCATAATTAAATAAATGTTTTGGCTTTAAATATACTTTAATAATAAAATAAATCCCATTCTTTGGCTTGTGTAAACCCTGAACTGCAAAGTGTACTGCATTTACTGTCACATTTCAGCTAAAATATTCTCCCCCTCCTCTGTATAATGGCAAACAGGGCTGTTCCTATAATGAGGCAGCCTGAAGTTATTGCCTCAGGCAGCGTCTCTTTGTGTCACGTGGGGGAGGGATCAGGCAGAGCGGCAAGACAGTGACTTCCGCCCCCTTTACAGCCAGAATGTCCCAGATTGCAGAGAGATGTGTAAGGGCCATACACATCTCCCTGCCCAGCTCTTAGCTCCCTGGGATGCTCTAGTCGGTGTACCGCCCTCTCCTGGCAACCAGTGATGATGCAGAGGCCCCCTGACGGTGAAAAAGCTAGGGATACCTCTAAAGGCAAGAGCTAGTACACTAATCTGCATGTGACTATTCAAAGCCAATCAATTATTTGTGCAGGCAGAAGGATGTTCTGTCCCCATAAATTGGTTGCTCACACTTTCACACGTTTAAGGCTGCTATTGAAATTTTAAGGGCGGTTGACACTCAAAAATATAATACAAATGTGTGTATGTGCCTGCATCACTTCCTTCCAGTTATACACGTTAGCATCATGTTCAGGCCTATTAAAAAAAGACTGAACCTATGTTTCTCTGGGTAATAAAAAGCCCCAGTCAGCACTGTGAAAATGACTACCTACCGTGGACCTACCCACACCCTGGATTTCTCAAAGGCTTTTGATATGTTACCACACAAACACTTGCTACACAAGCTGAGGGCTATGGGCATAGATGAGGTGGTGTGTACGTGGATAGAGAACTGGCTACGGGACTGGGCTAGTGTAATGAGCAGTGTGCCTCAGGGTTCTGTGCTGGGTCCCATATTGTTCAACTTATTTATTAATGACATCGGGGAGGGTGTTAAGAGCGATATTTCCGAGTTTGCGGATGATACTAAAATTGGGAGGGTAATAGACACGGACTTAGACATTATAACATTACAGGAGGACTGTAAAATAGGGGAGTGGGCATTGATGTGGCAGATGAGGTTTAATGTCGATAATTGCAAAGTAATGCACTTTGGACATAAAAATAAACAAATGGGTTATACAGTTATGGGTATGTCATTGTAGACCACAAACTGAAAAGTAGCATTCAGTGCCAGGCTGCTGTAAACAAAGCTAGCAGGGTCTTGTCAATCACATTCTCTTTTTTGCCTAAAATGTTGAAGAGCTTTCGGAGACGAGTGGAGCTTCATTTTACCCGAGGGCCTACTCATCCACATCTCTCAGTGTATGTCCGCCTGACACAGTCTATTCCTTTTTAACCGTGTTCATGCATCACAGGCTGGTCCTTGCTTATAGTTTTATTGTATATTATCACAATTTCCTTAGGCTACAGCAGCCAATTGGGACTTACAGATTTATGACTTTTTGCCGATATTGCCTTCATCTTGTCAGGATCCCAGATAACAACATCAGCATCTGATCCAACTGCAATTCGCCCTTTTCTAGGGTAGAGGTTGAAGATTTTGGCAGCGTTTGTACTAGTAACTGCTACAAACTGGTTTTCATCCATTTTGCCAGTAGTCTGTAAAATGAGCAGTATGTTACTAAAAGAAAAGTCTACCTATTAAAACACTGATTCTAATGCAGTATTAACTCAGACTGCAACTTCCTGTCTTCACTGGAGGATTCTGTCTCCATGTGAAACTACTTCCTCTCTCCAGTAAGTGATTGGTGAATAGCAGAGCCTGACCCTCAGTGATCAGCCCTGGCCAGCTGCCAACAGCACCTGTAACTCTCAATGGTTCTTATATAGAATGAGAAAAAAATGCAACTTCAGGTTTCACTGCTGGGGGATTCTGCCACCAGGAGTAAATGTGGCAATAAACCCCAGGCACCATCTCCTAGATCTGACCCCTTCTAGAGTATTGTGATCTCAACTGATGCATGGACGAGAAGCATGGAAACAGATTCCCTGGTAATCGGGAAGCCGGGTGGCGAGTTTTTACACACCACCCGGCTTCACGGCTAATCAGGAAGCCAGGTGGCGAGTCATTACATGCAGCCTGCCTTCCTTAATAGGACTTGGGGTATCGGTATTTGGTATCGGCGAGTACCGGGAAAAAAATATCCAATACTCGTATCCAATACCGAAAAAAAGGAATCGGTGCATGCCTAGTCCCTGTGTGTGTTTTTAAAGTAGCCTCAGCTCCAAGCTCGCTACCATAATGGACTACAATCTCACGTTTAGTTTACTCATTTGTATTGGGATTGTAGTCCATCATGAGAGCGAACTTGGAGCTGTGGCTACTTTACAACACACACAGGGACCATGGGGAACAAATGTAGCCACCCCCCAGAAGGAAGGACAGTGTCAGCACCAATTCAGAGATGATTTGAGGATCTACAGCGGAATGATACACAAATAAGATACATTTTTGTTAATCATTAAGGAATCTGAATGCATTATTAAGATTTAGTTCCTGAGTTAAGTGACAATCAATATGATATCAATATCAATGACAAGTATTGTGGCAGTTGATGCTGCCAGCTTCTACAGGAAAGATTTAGCTGGTGGGAAGGAGCCATCAAAATGTTGCTATGTAGAGATATAGTTATATCTCTGGTTGCAGTGAATTATTGTCATAAACAATAATAATCTATCACTTTCTAGATCTTAAAAGCGGAGGACCAGCTGCAAAAGGAGTATACATTTGGGTACATTTCAGAGTGACTGGTAAATCTAGATTTATGTTTTTGTTACATGCAGCTTATGATTAGGTGCAACTTGAAGGACTGTCCTGGTCAAAATTGATGCAACTTTAGGTGAAGTTGCAGCAGATTTGATTGATTGGTGGAATTTCTATTTAAAGAGTAATTCAACTGTTATTAAGAATTAATCATCTCCCTCTGGATCAATGTACTGAACTTTGCAAGGATTTGAACCAACTTTGTTGCAGATTTCAGCCTGTTTCTGTTCTGAAGAAATAGCTGTTTGTTGCAGCGTGTCTTTTCCAAACGGATCCCTGAATGGGAGGGTCTGTGTTCATTATAATCAGCTGGTTGACTTCCTGTGTTGTAATGAGGAAAGGTGCAGTGCGGGCATCCCTTTAGTAGTAATTAACCCTTAGGGAGTATCTTACCAAAAATGAGATTCCTATTGCAGGGGATGCCTAAAATTGTACTGTACTTAAATTTTACTGCTGACTTCTGGGGAAATCAGTGAGCCAATCAAAGAAGCAGGAAGTGACATTTC